TGGAAATGCAGAATGTGAACCATTTGCATTATTTGCACTTTTTACCTAGAGCTAGACATTTGATTTTTAGTGATAAATAGCAAAATAGTATAAATTAGTTTTGGGATTAACCTTAAATTAATAATTGTTTTGTTTTTCTCTTAGTCTGCATTTTTTGCTCATTTAATAGAAAAGTTGAAGTACTGTAGTGGTGAACAAATCCTCTGGTTCTTATGCCTGAGCTCTCTGAAGGTGCTTTATAGGCTGTTTCATTGCAGCATTTTCCCCTGGTACAGTATGTACTGATTCATTTAAAGAGACTGTAGTCCTTGAAGCCTGGAGCTTACAGGTATGTATTATTGTGTTCCTTGACAGCATCAGAACATAAGAAGTGTTACAGAGAGGAGAGGAGTCCATTCATCCCTTTTGGTAGTGTGACAGTGGAGCACACCTCCCACTGCACTCCCTCCTGAAATTCTTTCTTGTGCTGTGTACTGTCTACACTTTTATGAACACATCTTTGTTCCTGACCTCTGCTCTGAACTATGTTTCCTGGTTCCCTAGCCTGCTACAGCACCACTTCTGTCTGTGTGTTTGGCACAGCTCTTGCCTTATCAGCGTGCTGCCTGCTCAGCTTCCCTATGTGCATGCAACACTGTGCATTTTCTTGTCTCACCTGCCTATCACCCAGCAGGTGGTTGTGTTCAGACGGGAGACCTCAGAGTCAAATAAGAAGCTGCAGGAAGAACCATCTGAAACTATCTTTATTTGTCTATACTAGACACCCACATATTTGCCTTCAACTGAGTCTATTTTGGTAGAAACATCATAAGAGGAGATGTGTAACTTTCTCATCACTGATGTAAGAACTGGGGTCTTTGTTGAAGGCTGAGCCCTTTGCATCTGTGTCTAGCCAGTGTCTAGTTGAGCTAGCCAGCATGGGACAGCTAGAAGTCAACCCCTTCTACACCCAGAGCCACTCTGGCACAAAGCTTAACCACATTTTGTTCAGCTTTTATTAATTCTGTATACGTCTGAAGAAGAAGGTCAACCTAGCACAGATAAGTTGTGCTCTAATATGAAGCTTTTCTCTGATTTGGGTGAATCCGTGACATCATATATATAGTTCAGGTGGGTAGCTGCGTCAGCATGCGTAGGCTGCAAAGGAACAAGTAATAGGTTTATTTCATGCCGAAAAAAAAGAAGAAAGAGAACACAACGTTTCGGCCGTGGAGCCTTCTTCAGGTTTTCTTTCTTCTTTTTTAAACTTTCTCTGATGTTTTGAGTAGCCTTGCCTCTGACTTCTGCTCTACACTATGTTTCCTGGTTCCCTGGTGTCATAGTTACTACACAGTTCTACACTTACTGATTCCATGAATGTTGTAGTATGCTGAATAGCAGAAAACATGTGAACCTGCCAAGTATGGGATTAGACATAAGTGATTGGTGGGAGAGTTAAAGCTTTGATTTCATCCAGCCATCCATTCATGAACAGATGTGGACTGTTCAGCATTGATCAAATAAATCGATCTAATCGATCTCCATCCAATGGTGGAGAGGTAACTACTGGAGAGGTCAAAGTGCGACCTTTTGCAATCAAAACAAGGGATAAAGTGGTGCTTGATTCTACAATCAAGAACAATTTAAAGCTCTGTCCTGTGTTGAAGCATCCTGCACATTTTTCTACACTGATTTTCAGACCGGTTTAATGCAACTTGTTTCACCATAGATGTAACAAATTGGTCACCATGTATTGATGTAAAAATGGTCATTTCACTTTAAAGATTATCTATATTCTACAGCAAAAAGAGGGCAAGGTCATATGTGTGTACAGAAGAACCTATGACTTCTAGCCTTATGAGTAATAACAGCAGTCCTGGGGTGATTGAGCACCAGCCCAACAATCTGCAGAAGGACTTGGCTGTTTTGTCTGAAGGTTTGTCAGTGAGGCCGTCTTATCAAACAATTGTTTTGATGTATTGCGTTTTAGGATCCTGGATTAGAGGAATTTGTTTTCTTTGAAATGGATTTAATATATATACTGTAAATAATGCCAGCAAACTGGATTTCTTTTTAAAAAAGACTACGTGTTACTGTACATATCATTATCAGAGCAGTGAAGTGTCTTAACAGGGAAAGATGCACATTGAGGCTAAGAGACAAATGAAGAACAAGAAGAATGTAACTTATAATACCACCATGTTAATTGGAATGTGTAGGTTTTAATTCAGTTTAAATTATAACTGTACGTACTTTCCTTGTATTTAGTCAGGGCTTTAAAGAGAGGGAGCACCAAAACTTTTCGGTGCTGTCGTCTCTGCTTTAAAGGTACCCCCGTTCTGGAAGAATTTGACCTCAAATATTTGCCCAGCATATTATAAGTGAAGAAATTGCTCAGCCCATCACAGAGCACAGCACGGTCATCAATGTGTGAGATGTACTGTATTTACCTCCTCCTGGGTACCTGTGCCATCACGTCCTCTGTGGAATAGCTACTGTACTGTAGCTCTCTGCTGTTAATAAACCCAAACATCCCATTAAGGTTAGGAGGGGTTTGTTAATAGTCAATAAAATAAACCTGTCTGTGCTTTTTAATTCTGCCTCCTCAGCCTCCAGCTGTCTTTCAGGTTTTCTTTGACAGGATTGTCCAGCTCTCTGCCCCTCTTTCTGCTGGGCTGTGCACTGGTCAACCAAGCTGAGCAATGATGGGTAACTGGGAGGGTAGAGAGAAGTAGCTTAGAGGTAGAGATCACAGATGTCCCTGAAGCATCATACAGTAAGAGACATAACACCGAAGAAATAGTTAAGTTTGTAATGACAAAACTGAAATTCAGCATTACTGTGCAGGCAGTGATCCTGTTCTCCTCTGATGGCTAGTACTGTATGTGAAGATGTCCAGATGTACAGTAGAAGCCAAGACAGTTAAAACAGTATTTCAGCATCTACTTGTTAATTGTTAATTGACAGACTTGTTGGCAGTTCCTATCTGAGAAGCTTAAGCAAGAATTTTTTTCTTTATTTTCCTCATAATTGTATTACAGAAGCTGTTTTGGCTCTGGAATGTCTTCTCAATGGAATTATCATCCGTAGAATTCACCCAGACTAAACTGGCAAGTCTCACAGTGTAAACTGGCAGCTCATGTCTGCTTGTGTGGGTTTGACGGATGGGGAGGCCCGCAATTCATCTGCTTAACTGGTACTACAGACAGATCAGAAGGGAAGGCAAGCCCTGCTTACATTCCCTGCAGGGTGCGGAGAGGAGGGGAACAAGGGTATCGTTTAATTTGGACAAGAGATGGAGGAAAAGATGTATTCTGACCCCCAGTGGGGTCTAAACCTGAACCTTTTAAGATAAAATCCAAAGAAATGAAAAAAAAAAAAAAAAATTCTCCTTTCTTTGCGTCCTTATATTTGTGTCGCTCTGTCTTCACTCTCGTTCTCTGGCTCCCGGTTCCCATGGTCTTGTCACAGCTGCCGGGTCATTTTTGCAGATCACATGCTACAACATTGCCACCTCCTGCCTAGCTCTTCCTTCCTAGTGACAGGACCCCGTGATGAAGCACACGTTTCTTCACGTTTTAATCACACACTCTTGTCCACTCTGTCTGGCTACTGTCACAGTTGCCAAAGGGACTAACCGTGGGGAGCAGGAGAGCGGAAAAAGACCCATATGCGTAGCGGCGAGATGGGAAAAAGGCCCGGGCTCATTAGTGCAAAGAGTTCAAGAATGCCGTATAGAGACCTATGCCCTCAGGTAGCGGACGTGGGGCGGCCTGGTGCTAGGCGGGTCTCAGGAGATCCGAACGTCAATGCTGAGCGAGGGCAGAGTGCAAGACCCGGAAATATATAGCCCAAGGGAAAGAGAGGGACAGGAAGGACAGCAGACCGGAAACTAGGGACAGGACAGAGAAGGAGCGCCCTCTGGCTGCAGAGGGCGTGACAGCTACTTTCACATTTTGTGCACTCACAGCCGTAATCTTAGTGGGGTAGTACTAATCATTTTTTAGTAAAAGGGACTTCTGGTTTGAACACAAACCTTCCTGTTTTTGTAATACAAAAAGCCTAGCATAGGGAATTTACTTCTTCAGTTGCTTTTGCAATAGTGTTGATCGATATTAATAATAATAATAATAATATTAATAATAATAATAATAATAATAATAATAAACTTTATTTTATATAACGCCTTTAAAGGTGGCTTCTCAAAGTGCTTTACAGGATGACAATAACAATAAATAAGAAGACTACAACAATAATTAAGAAGATTTCACAAGATAGGACACAATTATAATTACAACAATACAACAATAACAATAGAGGAGACCGTGGAAGGTGGTATTAAGAAGAGCAGAGGGGTGAAGAATGGAACCAGTTAAGTAAAGGCTTTTCTGAAGAAGAAGGTTTTGAGTCTAGATTTGAAAGTTTAGAGAAGGTAACTCTCTGATATCTTTGGGCAAAGAGTTCCAGAGCTTGGGGGCATAGCAGGAGAAGGCCCTGTTACCCATACAATGTAAACGGGCTTGGGGGACAGTAAGGAGGGCAGAAGTTGAAGAGCGGAGGTTGCGAGGTGGGGAGTAGGACGATAAAAGTTCAGACAGGTATTGAGGTGCCAAGCACCTCATTCATTCACATTTGGTACTTGGGCTCTTACCATGAATCCTCTGAGGCAAACAAATGCTTCATCCATTGATGTGAAATAAAGTTTTTTCTGTGTTTCAGGAGGGCCTAATTATCTAACCACTGTGATCCTTAAAGTGATTGACAAATTAAAGCTGCTTTCAAAGTATTTTTTAAACTGGGGAAAAAAGGTTTTATCAGCTAATAAGTCTAGACATTTTGAATGCTCCTGTACTTTTGCTCTTTTGCTGTGCCAAAGCTATGCGCTAATTGCCCCTGATACATGTTTGTGATCTTTAGTCCAGTGCCCTACATAAACCTCACACTCCTCCTTTTGTTTTGCTATAGCAGAAGGGAGAAACCTACCAAAGCAGGAAGGCAAGAACTGATTTCTGAAGAAGGGAACAGGCAATTTCTCATCTGCGATCACAGAACAGAAGATGGGGATTATACTGTACCTTTGCCACAGCTGTTCCCCTGATGCTGGAGCAGGTACTCCTGTACACAGATTAAGGAGAGATTATACGATGCCATGTGGTTTAAATGAAGGTGAGGTGACGAGTGAGTAGGAAACAGGGGTGTTGCTGAAAGCCCTTTGATGACTGTGGGCATATGAAAGGGCTTTAATCTGTGAAAGTAAGGTCAGCCCTGAATACTGTAGGTATAGAGTGGCTAAGAGGAAAGGGGGAGGAACTGAGCATGTGCAGCCCCTCTCTATATATGTATGCATGTAGAGAGCAGGAGGATATGTGGCTTATGCTGAGAGCGGTGTGCATGCAGAGCCTGCATCACGCAGCTGTGTCTCACACACACGCCAGAGAGAGCCGGCAACTTTTCACCAGAGAGCAGCAGGGAAGGAGGGCTTTTTCTCTGTCGTGTGATTAAAAAGTGACGCTCGGGGTGCTCTGCTGTTGAGGCGCAGGACACTGCACTAGGAAGACTTGTTTGCTCCTTTCATTTTTCTTTGTAGAACGCATTTTTTTCACCTTTTGTTCAAGTCTTTGGAGAAAAGGTGCCATGCAGTCGATCCGAAGGGGCATCTCCTGCCCGCCTCAGGACCCCAACTGCACCCGCATTGTGGAGAGCCTGTCTGTGTGGAACGAGTCCGTGGTGAATGCCTACAAGCTGGTGGAGCTGCCGCCCCTCGCCACAACAGTGAGTGCTCTGCTCTCATCATCGTTCCCCTAGTGTGACCCCGAGAACAGGCTATGAGTCCCCTCTGAGCTGCAGCCCCTTAGGAAAACGGGGTGCGTATCCGGCTACTGTAGTCAGAGGGCGAAAGACATGAGCTGGTTATTCAGGTAGCTAAGGAGGCGGTCGTTGTGGACTTGTTAATATTCTTCTATGGGTATTTTTCTAACAGTAGTACCTGTTGAAAAAGTAAAGCTTGGAAGTGAAAAGTCTGTGCTTCACTCTTGCAAAAAGGTGCTGTCTGTGCTCTTTGTATAATGCACTGAAAAAAGATATTTAATTTGTTGCTCTTGTGTGAAGCTTTTATTTAGTGCTTTTTATTTTTCAGTAAGCGTCTGTGAAGGACATTTTCTATGTCTTTTCCCCTAGTATCAGTCTGGTTATCTGATGTGTCAGGGTCTGGACAAGAGGATGAATTGGATGTGTGCTCATATTCTAATTTGTATTGATACTTGATCTTTTTGCACCTGAGGAATGTAGCTCTGAGAGCGATAAAAGCTCTGCTGGTCCTGACAGTGGTCCTGGAGCAGTTTGCTGTGCTGCCCACATCTTGTTGCTCATCCACAAAGACCCAAAATTGTGATCCAAATTTTGTTGGTCTGAGAATAAACCAAATCTTTATTGGAAAGAGGAAATTCTAAATCCCCCCACCATGTCAGCTTAATAACAGTGAGGAAGAGGAAGCTGCTTGAAAGTGAGGAAGTGCTTCTTACACTCTTCTGCTGAAGTGTAAAAATGTTTTATCTGCAAATCGTATCTCTTTCTTCACCCCTTGAAGTGACCTTCACCACAGTGTGTTGTTGTGAGACATTTGGGTTAGTGTCTATATCTGTACATACGTCTGCACTGTGTTTTTTGTCCGGTCATTATTTTAACAGTAGAATGAATTTCTTGTGAAGTGAAGCACAGGTTGTCTTAGGTTTGTTACATGAAGTTTAAATGAAAGACAAAGCCCCATGATGTGCTACTTTAGCACTCCTCTTCGCTGACCCTGCTGAAATCCTGCAGAAATGTCCCAAATCAGAACCACCTCAGCTCTTTTTCAGGCTTCATTGGCTCCTGAAGACTCGAGAGAGGTCATCCCACTGCCTCTTCCCTTTTTGAACAATTTCTCGTGCGCTAGCGTTAAAATCAGGGTTTTGTTCTTTTTTCTGGACACATAACGGTCTGTCGTTCTCAGACAGTTGTCCAATTTCCCTGAAATTCACTCATTGCTGGTTCAATTACAAATCCTACCAGAAAATACATGCCTGGCAAGAAGTGACATACGTAGCCTATTGTGTACATTTGCACTGCTGCTGTATAATGGACGCGGACTTGTTAGAACAGTTGATCTCTGCCTTAACATTGTCCCCTTTGCAGTAGTGCTCTACAGGGTGTTCCTGCAGTAGTCCTACAGGCAGGGGGCACTGGAACCTGCTGTAGACTTTACATTTCTCACTGCTGGAAAGAACAAAGGCCCTGGCTCACGAGTGCAGAGGCATGTTTCAGAGACTGCATACCCTCTGTGAGATTCCTCCTGCTGCTGGGTCCTGTTTAACCTTGCATGGAAGGACGAGTTGTTCTGGGTGGATGCGCGCAGATACACTGATATTGACATCTCGAGCACCTCTTTATTTCTGGTTTTAATTGCAAAAGGTCATACTTCTCTCTTCCCTCCACCATTTTATTTTCAATGTGTAATTTGCACTTTCCATCTTAGATTGATTGATTTGTTTATGGTTAACAATCTACGTCATCGGGCCCCTGTAGGCCTGATCAATTGAGTAACCTTATACCTTCCCAACCAAATGTGTTTGGTTGGATGAGTCAAAGCTTTATCTCTCCTACCAATTTGAACTTGAACTTGAACTTTATTGCCATATGTAACTGATACATGTACTGGTACAATGGAATTCTTACAGAAAGTCTCTCGATTGTGAAACAAGTATAAAAACAAAAAGTGCAGACAGTGCGTCAAGACAATATACAAACAAACAGTAGACAATGTAAAAGTAGACAAGTAAACAGTTTGATTGTAAACAATACAGACATGTAAACAATGACTGGAGATGTGCAATAAATAAGAAATCATAATGAGGTAGATAGTGTAGGTGTGGTCTGAGGGGCATGGCTAAATGTGTTCGCCAGTCTCACTGCTTGTGGATAGAAGCTATTGAAGAATCTAGTAGTAAGTGTCGGTATGCCCTTATATCTCTTGCCTGAGGGCAGTGGGGTGAAGAGCTTATGCCCGGGGTGGTGACTGTCCTCTGTGATGGCCAGAATTCTACCACTGCAGTGGTCCGCATAGAGCTGTTTAATCTCGGTGAGACCACAGCCAATGATCTTCTGGGCATATTGACGACCAAACTCCTGTCCGGCTGCCCTGTTCTGGACAGGTTCACGTGTGACAGAGGCTGCTTGTGTTTGTTGTCTAGTGGGATCCCGCCTGTCACGCCCTCTGCAGCCAGAGGGCGCTCCTTCTCTGTCCTGTCCCTAGTTTCCGGTCTGCTGTCCTTCCTGTCCCTCTCTTTCCCTTGGGCTATATATATTTCTGGGTCTTGCACTCTGTCCTGGCTCAGCATTGAGGTTCGGATGTCCTGAGACCCGCCTAGCACCAGGGCACCCCATGTCAGCTCCCTGAGGGCATAGGTTTCTATACGGTATTCCTGAACTCTTTGCACTATGAGCCCGGGCCTTTTCCCGTCTCGCCGCTACGCATATGGGTCTTTTTCCGCTCTCCTGCTCCCCACGGTTTGTCCCTTTGGACGTCCGTGACACCGCCATTGAGTCCCATGTCTGTAATTCGTGATTGGTGCTGGGTTGAAATGTTGATTTATCAAATAAGATGAAAGTAATAACCTTCTGCTCTTCTGGCAGGATTTTCAGCTGTGCTTATAGCTAAGTGCCAGCCGGACTGGTGTGATTTGTAATTGTACAAATGACGATGACGTAGCTACAGCCTGCGATCATCTACATCAGTGTGAATCTCATGTGATCTGCACTAGCCTGATGCCCATGGTTGGTTCTAAACCATGACAAGCATGTGGAGCAAGCTAAGTTACAGCAGTGGTTCCTTTAATGTGAAGATCTGTATTCTGCGTTGCAGATTAGAAGGTACTTTCATGTCTCTACTTCTGCTTGGCCTCATGCAAATAATATTTCTGGAAGTGGATGAAGATTTCTTACATCAGAAAACACCCATTTTAAAGTGTGAAAAAATATTGGCTGTCAGGAGATGGCATTTGATCGGAGGATGTTTTTCCAAGTGAGTCTTTATCTTCAGCTTTGCACAGGCAGACTGCCCGGGAGGGTAGTTCAGTTGATTCTTTCCAGACATTGCAGATCCCAGCTTCACAGTTATTCTCAGTGCAGAAGACAGGTGCTGAATTAATTAATGTAATGTTTGTCAAAAATTAAAATAAATGGCAGATATACTATATGTATCTACAGTTTTTGCTCATTTATTTGTCTGGACTCACATGTTCTGCCACTAATCAGAATGAACAATTTTATCACAAGAGTTCACACCAGATATTACATCAGTAATTAACAGAAAATAGATAATTAGAAAAAAATTAATATAGAAACAAAAAAATGTAAAAACATACATTGTTGATTGGCTATTAAGCCACTATATCAGATTAGAAACCATTTAACAAAACAAGCCGAAACGTTTTTCTTTTCTTCTCTTACCATCAAAGAAAGAATCATTGCTTCTTTATTTCAGTTCATGTTCTTATTTTATTTTCAAGCTTTTCATCCAGTAATGTTTTTGTCATGTATCATCAGTGAAAGGCTGGAGACATATGAAGCTCAATTCTTATTGTTTTTAGATACCAAATTTTTTTTTGCTTGACAGGCAAGTTAAGAACAAACTTCATTGTCAACATTCCTTTGCCTACTGTTCGGTGGGGGGAGCAGTATGGTGGAGTGGTGGATATTGCTGAAGTCTCACAGTTATTGGGTCCTGCATTCAGTTCTCTGCACCTTCTGTGTGGAGTTTGCATGTTGTCCACATGCTTGCTTGAGTGTTCTGATTCTTGATTCCTCCCAAAGACATGCTGCCTACTTGTACTTATTGTCCCTAAATTGTACCCTGGAATAAACTGGCATTCTGCCTGGAGTGTTGTCCTGCCTTGCACCCTATCTCCCAGGACAAAGTCCAGGAATATGCAGCTTTCTGTTTTCGAATAAATCGCTAAATGTGTCCCATTCAATGAAAAGTTTTGTTCTCTTACAACAATGACTTTGTTGTAAGAGAACACGAAATTCGAAATTCGTAATTCATCACGAAAACAGCCAAATACTATAAAATATTAAACAACAATCTTTTAATTTAAAATGATCTTTTCCCTTCAGTAGAAATTTTCAGCCACCTTTATGGATGGTCTTCATTCCTGCTAAGCTCTGAAAGTCAATATCGGGTTAAGTATTTTCTTTACAAGAACTTGTTAAAATATTTTCCTAGTGATAATAACTGAGTTTTTAAAGTTCACTGTAAAACCACCAGGATTCTGTCCTTGAGTGTCTCACTTACATTTCCCATCTCTACAGCTTTGTGCATCTCAGAATCCAGTTGAAAAGTCTCAATATAATCAAAATAATGCTTTTGAAGCTGATGACTGAAAGGCCTCCTCAAATCCTACCACACTGTAGCTCAGCAGAACCAAGGTTAAGCAGGCCAGCTGTCTCACAGAGCAGCCATTAGGTTAAAAAAGAGCAAATAGCTGTCTAACTTTCAGCAGGGTCATAAATACTTACAGGGAAACAGCTCAGGTTCCAAAGCAGTGGAAAAATGTACAAAAGGGTAGAGTAAATCATGTGAACATGCATAATAAAACAAAAACATTGAAACATGATATAGTGAAATATACAGTAAACCATTCGAGGTGAGTGACAAAAGTTGGTATTTAAACTTGTGGCTATTCCTACAGAGTCATTTTACTGTAGGAAAATGAGAGGGCCTCCTAATCTCCAGAAGC